TTGTTCTCAGCATTTTCTTCCTAGGAGTAAGGCCATTAAATCCACCATGCTGAGCCTCCAACCAATGCATAGCTGAGGCATGTTATATGTCAGAATCTGCTCTTCCATGGGTCTGCTTGTTGGCAAGCCTCTCAGCACTGCAAAGTTCACTTCTCTACTGTTGGATCTTTATCACAGATCTCTGCTTAGGACAGGGTGGCTGAACTTCAGAATCTGAAAAGCTATCAGTGGGTGTAGGCAAGGAGTCCTGGTCTTCAGCCAGAGTGGAGTCCTTGGCTCTAACACTGCTGGAATCACCCTGGCCAGGACTGTTGTCACTATCTGCTCCTGGCTCTACTTCCTCCCTCTCCTCCTCATCTCCAACAACTTAATAAAAGACTTTAAAATATAAGATAGTCTTTATGTGTGTGTGTGTGAGAGTGTGTGTGTGTGTGTGAGAGAGAGTTTTTATGTATCCATAAAAACTTCTTAATAAAAGCTAGACTATATCAAATCAGTGGTAAACTAGGTTTAACACATCCCTATAGAGAGGCAATAAACTATGGACAAGCTAATTGATTTATTGATTATGTGCCATCAAGTCAGTGCTGACTCTAAGTGACCAGACAGATAGATTTTCTCCATGAATGAGCAAACTACACTGATGACTTTATAACTTTAGCAGCATGGCTGAGCCTATGGGGCAAAAGGTTGGAGGTCTCATACCAACTCTCCTAAAAGCCCTCTGAGTATTCACACCCTTACTCTGCCTCCTGCCTTGATGTAGCAGCTGGGTGGCGCCTGTGTTGTTTTTCTGGCAAATTAAAAGGGGAAAAATGAGAAAATTGAAATTAATTCTACAATGCCACCTCCTAAACATGTAGTATGAAAGTATGTGGCTAGAGAAATCATCCTCTCCTCCCCATCCTTTGTTTTTTTGGAGTGGGGGTGGGGGTGAGATACACCAATCTCACAAAAGATAAACCAAATCAAACTTTTTTTAAAAAAAGAGTGTAAAATTCTTTTTTAGCATTAAATGTTACCCTGCAAGAACATTCAGTGGTAGGGCAAATAAAAATATAGAGCTGTTCAAAATATAGACAGCAATTTAAAAATGATCTCCAGAAGAAAAATATAAAGGAAAATATACAAATTTGGATAACTCACAAGATGATGCTGGTCTGATTCTTAGTGGAATCTCGTAAAGAAAATCCAAGTGACATAAAAACAGACCATTACTGAGTTAGTACAGAGAAAATGCATGTACCCTCAAACACAGGGAAAAAAAATTAAGACCCTAATACAATTTTCTGTCTAGACTTGTTTATCTATTCTTCAGACACTTATTCCTGAAGCTTTCTGTTTGCTTTCCTGGATTTTTTCTTCTTGGGGTCCCCCCCCCCTTTTTATCAGAGGGGTAAAGAGATTACTCTCCTTTTCCCAACCTCAGTGTACAACATTCTCCCAAAGTTTTAAAATCACAGAAGTTTTTCCTCTCCTAGTAGAGAGAGGTTAGAGTGATCTGCATGCATGTCACTCATATCATGTCTGAGATGAAGGTGGATTGAAACTACCAAGGCCGTTTGTCAATGAACGGGAGGTGAGGCCTTGCCTGCCCATTCATTAAAACAAAGCACTGGAAAAACAAATGGCTTTCTTTACTTTGGGTTAGTTCCAAAGGAAATTCCTCCCATTTTAGTTCCACTGAAATCAAGGTAACTAAATGTAAGCTAAGAGAACTGATAAACATAGCTCTGAATTAAAAATAAATGAGGCTGTGTTTGATTGTAACACCATTATTACGTAGCCCGTTGCAAAGTCTTTAATATATAGCTACTAGCATGGAGGTGGTAGCAGGGAAGTTCATTGAGTAGTCATATGACAAATGTGGGATTGCACTCCAATTTGTCCCTAATGGTATTTACACAGCAATGTTTTTAAGTCTTGATATCCTTCCTGTCGATATGAATATAGTACTGAATAAAGAGCACTGAATTCCACATATACTGTTTGCTAACAGAAATTAGTACTAGTAGAACAAGAAATGCCAAAAGCCTTGTCTACACTTTGATACAAATAATGGTAGTTTGAGCAGATCTAGTGACACTAATCTGATGTAAAAACTGATAAATTACATGGAATAGAAGAGAAGTGATGTGAGCCCAGATTGGGAGAGAGATAAATGCCAAATTGTTATTAATGTAAGTTAGATTGCAGAAACAACAGAGTGGATGGTAACACACAATGTACTGGTTTTTAGCATTGTCAGGCAATTAGCATTAATTATTGCCAATCAACTTTAATTCCTCTTGTGTTTTGAAATGGCTGCAAAGCATTGCGCTTTCAAAGCAGAATCCATTTTTTAGAAGAGAATTCTAATCTGAAAGTAGAGCCAGAGCTAGCTATGGTAAAATAGTATTGACAGGGAATAGTAAATGTTAATACTCAGTGAGTGTGACCATGATGCAAGGAAGTGTCCATAATTTGTAAGCTCTTGATTTTAAAGAGCTAAGAAAAGTCGCACTTGGCTAGTAGTTGGAAATACTAAGGCAGTAACAAGATCAGAAATCATAAACACATCCCATAAGAAGGCAATGCCAAAGGAAACAACATGGTCACATCCATAAAATCACCAGGAAGAAGGGCATCTTGGCAGAGAGAGGGAGAAGGGCTGTTAAAAAAAAGTCAAGATTGCAGTCATGACTGCATGATTGAAGTCCTACCCCCCCTCTTTCTTTTACATGTATCCCACATTTAAAAAAAGGGAAGGGGGAGGGCTTTGATCACATGGTTACAGCTACTATCTTGACTTTTTTGATCCACCCTGCTGGATGCCTCTGACCAGGATCTGATCTTGATTCCACTAAGTTTCATCTTTAATAGCTACAGCAGCAGGAAGGGAAATGATCCAGCACTTGCAGAAATCATGTAGAAAGGTTTGCATTCTACATTAAATCACTTTCCACTGGCAGGAAGCTGAGGAACTTTAATATTATCTCTGAAAATTGTGAATCACCCTCTTACTTAGTATTCTAAAAATCCAGCCAGGCATCCCAATTTTCCTAGGCAATGGGGAAATGATGCCAAATCTGAGACAGGGCTCTACCCCTGCCAGCTTTTCTGAAGAGGCTCTATTCTCTTCTGCTCCTTCATTCCGATGATATCAACAATGTCAATATGTAAATCATGTTTACATCTCTTACCTACAGTCGCTGGTATTTAGTATTGCTAAATAGCATTCCATTGATTGCCAGACCTTAACTCGCTCTCTTTTAAGTTCATTGGCTGTCTACACGACACACTGAACCACAAACCAGCCAACCTAGAGTGCTGGGCAGATTCATTCTATACAGCTAGTTTATGGTTCAATGTATTATATACAAACCAATGAGCAAATCATGGTTAGATTACCATGAGTCTTTTGTGGATGTGAAACACATGGTCAGCTTTCACTTGCATTAGCTATTGTGAAGAAAACAAGACAAGAAAGCAGTCTATTATTCATAATGTATATGTCTAAAAGGTCAACTGTGGCATCACTGTATGTTTGCATGTGTCAAAAAAGACAAGATGGTGGAAGCGACATCATGATTCATGCCCCAGCCCTTTTGTACATACATTGTGACATTACTTTCACCAACTTGCCCTTTTGAGACAACCCCAGAGATGCCACTTCAAGTCAAACTCAACTCCCAATGACTATGTGGACATGTCCAAGTTGTTTTCTTGACAACACAACAGAAGTGATTTGTTATTGCCTTTCTCCAGGATTTTTTCAATTTCCCAGTCTAGTCTACACCCCTGTATTTCTTGGTCTCCCATATAAAGGTTTAGCTGGAAAGGAAGTGGAATGAGTTTGACATAGCAAATCTATGTTTCTCTGGATGGAAAGAAGAAAATCAAAGTTTGCATAGCCTGCATTAGTTTAATGGTGTTGACTGTGCTGATATTTACAAGTCAATTACCCATAGGCTTCAGGAAAAATAGAGTATAGACTGCAAGTCAGAGACTCCACCTGGTGGGTAAAGGAGGATCCTATCATCAAAGAATTGATGGCTCTGTCTACACATAAAGCTAAACCACTAATTCATTGCAGTTCACACTGTTTTATGCTTCCTATTCACATCTAAAGGAGAAAGAGACATACCTCTGATTTTATTCTCAAGCAAAGTAGTTTCTTTTCAAAATTCCTAAATCCAGAGGAATAGATATAATACTAGAAAGACCTTTAGTTATCATGCTTGCATACCGCTGTGATCAGGGGACAACTCCTGATAGATTACAACATTAAAGCAATCTAAAGCAAAAACGCCACAATAAAAAATGATCAATTGATTTTAAAAATTATCACGTTTGCTTGGTCAGATCTGGTGAAATTGCCTAGAATCTTTTATGTTCATTATTCATCCAAAAGCCCCCAAGAAAATGCTGTTTTAAAAAAGCCCACTTAAGAACCCAAACTCCACCTCCCTAAATTGCAAACAGCCAATCCTAAAAAATCCCAGAGCAGTGTTTCTCAAGTGCTGCTGAGGGTGAGAAAAGCTCCCTTAGAGGGTAAGACTGGACCATCTGAAAACAAATGGAAGGCAATGATATTGCTGCAAAGAAAATTACACGAACGTTTCCATAAAATCACCAGATCTGTAAGGGAGACTTATGTAAGCGGGGCTACGAGATTCAGAGTGCAAAAATCCGGACCCCCACCGCACTGAACCTCATTCTGCCCTCTAGTGGCCGTCAGGATTTTTGCAACCCTATCGGAGGATACTAGGGGTCTTTAGAACATGTGTAGGGTCGGAAAAAAGAGGCTATTAATCCCCGAGCGTCTACATTAATGCTCCGGTTCATTTTTTGCTAAAGAGCTCTTGCCTTTTACCATGCAGCGACAGCACCCCTAACCTGGCTGCGCATGTCCTTTGAAGCGTCAAAAAGCCAGCATTGCAACTTCCGCCCTTAGTGACTGCCCTACTTCCTGTTTCCGCTCACTCCCGCGGGTTGCCGTAGCAACGCAGAAGCGGCGCGACTCGTTGCTGGTTCTTTATGGAGGTTGCTCCTTGCTTGCTTTGTCTCTGGAGGTGCATTTCTAATATTCTGTTCCGGGTATAGATAACTAGGGTTTTGTTTGTAGTCGGTCTTTCCCTCTTTTTTTGTCTGGTGGGGGAAAATTACCATTTTCAGTGATGTATTGACCGTTAGGATGAACCTTTTGTGTTCATGATCACGTTGGAAGAAGACCAATATAGTAGCAAGAAGCTCAATATCAGGCTTATTTTCTTTTCTTTTGTTTTATTTTATTTTGTATATGTATGTATTTATAAACAGCATCGGAAGTAACTCCTTTTCCTTCAGTGGAGCTTACTCCCAAATGAGTAAGCATGGGCTCCATGGTCTTCAAAGGATGTCCCCCGCACCCATTTTGATAGGTGTTATTAATAGTTACTTTGGGCTCTTGCTCAAACTTTATGATTTGGGTCTTTTCTTATAGGGTTATTTGTGCAGGTAAGGTAGATGATAGATGCAGTAATACATTGGCATTGAAAGTCAAAGTTGGAAGAGAACCTCTGATAATTTACCTCTTTTCTATATAGACTAAACATTGGCATAAAAATGTACTGTATAGTACTTTTTGCTTCCTTCCTAAGCAGTCAACAGCATATTAAAATATAATAAAAATATGTAAAAATATATAATAAAAATAAAATACTGTAAATTTACAGTGTGTAAAATATCAATACCGACCAAATCTGCCAGTTCTTGACTCCCAGTATTATTAAGTAGTTGGTTGATGGCTGGACTGTTGTAGTGGTTTACTGGCTGAGCTTCCTCCTTCCTTTCATGTTCAAATACAAAACAATGTTGTGAAGGTTGTTTTGGACCTTTACTATTTTCCTCAAACTTATCTTTGAGAGCAGTCTATCTAGTGGTTTTCAGTTTGGTTACATTATCAATTTAGGCTCCTTGTTTTGGCATTTGAGGTTGTCCATACAGGCAATATTGCCTATCTTCATGCTTTATTACTGTAATTCCTGAAATGCATGGACTAGTAAAACCTGGTCTGTGTGCCAAGGTATCATGGAAATAATAATATAATAAATAATATTTCCAGATATTAGTTCACTGCTCAGAGACTGTCCCAATTAACCAGACAATGATAGGAAAACAACCAGTATTTTGTTTTGCAATTGCAAATAATAAACAACCAATCAAGTGTGGTGCCTACCAGTGAACAACACTCACACAAAGTAACCTAAACTCTTATGCTAAAGAACATGCAAATATAATTGTGTCATGGTTTCTATGGCAAAATCTCCAGAAGTAACATTTTTTACTATTGATCTTTGGGTTTCAAGGCTCCCACTAACTGTCATGAACTTACTTAATATTTTTTTAAATCTAGAGATAGCTTAACTGATACCAACTTTAGATTATCTAACAAGGGCTATGGTTGGATCTGTTCACTTGGACCATGACATCTTCTCTTGGGGTTTTTATGCATTTGAAACTAGTTCTGAAAAATCAACTGCTTTTGGCCCTTCTATTCTAACCTGAGTTAATACATTTAAACAGGAGATAAAAACAGGGTTATTTAACAACTCATTCTAGTTGGAGGATGTTGCTAAAAGTCAGTGGTTAGGGGATGGAATGTTCCAGAGTTGCAGATATCTATTTTTCTTTCAGAAGCTACTAATTGGGCCATTCCAGGAGTGGCTTGTAGTTTTCTGGAAGTAAATCTCCTGGAACAGGAAGTGGTTCATGTGTTCTGGATGTGATCCAGTCATGACCTGGTCTGGTGTCCAGAAAGTACGTGGCACTCTTAGAAATGCTAGATCTTCCATCTGTGGAAGAAAAATGGAATATTCCATGCAACATTGGAATATTCAATCCCTGGAACACTATTTTGTACATTGCTGTTAATATACAGTAAGAATGATGATATACAATATTCTGCTTAGGAAATACTGTCATCTGTGTTGTATATCTTGTAATGTAAAATTACTGGTGAATTTACTGGTACTAATGATAAATATTGCTATGTTTCCTGAATTACAAAAAGTCTGTGCTGTTGTTGAGTCAGAAGACAAAACTGGTATATTGAGAATGCTTTTGTGTGAGTGTGGACTGAGCTATGATCTGAGTGTTGTATCTTATATTCCAATAATTGCTTTGCTATGAACACAGCTCAGTCTCATTTTACTGCTCATTCTACTAAAATTGGTTTGTAAATAAGAACTTGGGTATGATTTATTGATTATACTTCTGATAAATTAGCAATATGGTAACTTTATCAAGAGCATAGCTTAGATTAGATTTGTTTGGTCTGCGTTCTTAATACACTAAATTGCTTTTGGCAACAGGGTATAAAATAATATCCACTCATTTCTTATGCCTGTTAAACTGAATTTCTGATATAAACTGAGCAAAATTAAGAAGAAAATGGAAAGTTTATCACTGAAAATGAAGCCTGCAGAATTTTTAAAATAGATTCCATATAATTAAGTTCTCTTTTTCTATTTATTTAAGGCTGCAATGGATATTACAAGAGGAAGCCTGGATGGAATTTCAAGGCCAGCATCTAGCTCAAGAATTAATCATGGAAGCAAAGTTTTAAGTTCATCCCTAGAGATTTTAACGCCAGAACCAGACCTGCCTAAGGTAGCTGCTGTATCTGCTCTATTACTTCTTCTACTCCCTACAGACCTTTCAAAGTTTTGTGTAGAGTTCCGCAAATATAGACTCTGTTTATTAGCTGGCTTTTATCTTGGGTTGCCCTAAGTCCTTTGGTATTTATCGAGGCTTGGAAAAATGGCAGGTCCTCTCCTTTATGAGTTACAGAAAATTTAAGACTCTCACTCCTGTCATTGAGGAGTCCTGTTTTTTTTTTATCTTTACAAAAACTGCATTGGAAATGACATTACCATAGCAGAAATCTGTATAGTTCTTTGTATCCTTTTGAGTTTTGAATGCCTGCTTATGTAAGCAAAGCTATCAGTTTATATATATTTTAGTCAACTATAAGCCTTGAAAAAGTCTTATTTGCAGTTCCTTTTGTCTCATTTTATCTTTTCAAAAAAGCATAACAATCACAGGGTATGAGACTTATGCAAGAATTTTAAAATTGATAATTGTATGTCCAATATGGCTGTGCATTCATTATGGGCTCTCGACAGGAAAAGTACCTTTCATAATATCTTATCACCAGGGAATAGTCTTAAACATATTATATGGCTAAATCATGTTTGGAAGACCAATACATGGAGGTTTGCCCCTCTTTCTGCTTCCATTGTCTGATATTACTCTTACCTTTCTCTCATTTATTTATTTAGGCTTAATATGCTGCTCCCATCAAAAGTGACTCTGAGTGGCTTACAACACCAAAATTCTGTATGCAAATTAAAAACATACAACAAAATATAATTCAATATAACAAAATATAGCACCAAGGCAAGCCAACAACAATCACAACAACCCTTTTTCAAAAAGGGACCAGTTCATATCAGAGCCCAAAAACCCTCTGAAAGAGCCAGATTTTAATAGTCATTTAAAATCCTAGTAGTGTTAAGGCTGTTCTGATTTCTGAAGGTATTCTGTTCCAAAGAAGAGGGACAGAAGTTCAGAAGCCTTACCCCTTGGTCCACGATACAGTACTCCTAAGGGGTAAGGACCTGAGTGAGCCTTCTTTCACATCTTATTGGAGAGATGGTAAACAGTCTCTGAGATATTTTTTAAAATTTATTTAATAAAATTGTACATTGCCTTAATCACAAGGTAACTGTAGATGACTTACATATTAGAATAAAAAAGTAATAACAAAACACTAAAGATACCACATAATAAATAACAAACAATAATAACGAATAGCACTTGGGAGAGAATAAAACACAAAACCCAAAAACAAGCAAGACAGAATTCCAGTCTATCATAATCCACTCTGTGTCAGGCCTGTTGGAAGGGCCAGGTCTTCAAAGATTTATGAAAGACAACAAGTTTTGATTTTCTGAGGGAATGCTATTCCATAGATACCCAGGTCATGAGCCATGTAGGGCTTTAAAGGTGACCATCAGCACCTTGAATTGAACCAAGCCAGTTCACAACCAGTATAGCTTTCAGCATACCAGTGTCACATGGGTAAAATGAGTTGTGCCTGTAGCTACTCTAGTTTTTGCTGTAGCTTTTAAGTGATTTTCAAGAGCTGCTCCAAGTAGAGTGCACTGCAATAGTCCAGTCAAGAGTGACCAGGGCATGGGTGACTAGGAACAGAACCTTTTGATCTAGGAAATGTTGTGACTAGAGCAGTCAGTGGAGTTTCATAAAGCCCCTCCTGGCCATGGTTACCACTTTCTGAAGCAAGAGCCTTGAGGGTGCTGTAGGGAATAATACTCTCTGTGGGAGCAAAGATGGAAGATTACTGGATGCCATTTGCTTCTGAACCTGCAACCACTCTATCTTGTTGAGATTGAGCCTAAATTTGTTCCTCCTGATCCAGATTGTAACCACCTCTGGATATTGGGACAGAACCTTAACTGCATCTGTTGTTGCCCTAGGGTTGAGATGTATAACTGAATATCATCCACATACTGATAATACTTGACTCCATGCTGGCAGGTGAACTCCCCCAGTGGATTCATGTAGATGTTAATAGGCCAAGTAAGAGAGATAAGCACTGGGGCATCCCAAATCTCTAGACCTTGACGTCTCTTCCCCACTGCAAAAGGAGAACCACTACAAAAGGTACTCTCCGCTCTCAATTATCACTTGCGTTCTAGAAGGATACTATGATTGATGGTATTGAAGATCACTGAGAGATCTGTGTGTAAAGTTACGTAAAACAGTTTGATGTTTAGTAAGCCTACAATACAAGTAGTCCTTGTTTAGTGACTACCTTGTTTAGCAACTGTTTGCAGTTATGACAGTGATAAAAAAGTAACTTTGCAACCAGTCCTCGCATTTACAACATTTGAAGGTCTGTAAACAAAGGAAAGCTGAGGTAAGATTGGAAGCACAGTCACAGTTTCACTTAGTGACCACTTCGTTTAATGACTGAGTTACTGGTCCCAACTGTGGTCGCTAAATAAGGACTACTTATCTATACAACTTGCTCCCAGATTTGTCATATTTAACAAAGAAAGAATATAGCTCCCTACTTGCTGACAGGTGAGAGCCATTTTAGCAGAAAAACATTTTGGTCACTGCACTGTTTGCCAATAGATTTCTGAGTATGGATGTAGTGGTATAAAAGTACAATACAGTAAGTAAATAAATAAAGTGTGCTCGTTGATGACTGCAATAAAGTCTTTCATTTCAAATAAATCAAGTGCTGCTGTTGATGTATAAAGCCCTTTACAGCTCTAGGCCTTGTTATACGTTGGCCTCTTTACTTCAAATAACATCTGGCCATCCAGTGCATTGAACATGGGAAGTTGTGCTGTAGGATTCCTGGGAGGTCAGGGGGGTTGAGGCCTAGAAGCAGATGTTTTCAGTAGCTATATTGGCCTTATGGAATAACTTGTCACCACACCTGCAATCCATGGTGGCATCTTTGTTAATCTTCAGGAAAGAGGTTAACACAAGCTTTTGGTTTGTACAATACTAGATATGGAGGTTGCTATGTATTTTATTTAGTTGTCTGTGTTTTATAATTTTAAAAGTTTTATGTATGTTTTAATGATGTTTAATTTTTTGCATTTTTATGATTGTGACCTGTTCAGAGGTCATGACTAGAACAGCTTATAAATTTTGTGAAATAATGAACAAATAAATACATCTTTCTGAGTATGGCTTGAAGGTGATTCTTGCCACAAGCCACTAGGTAAGTGGATAATTACATATTATTTAATTTTTTTTGTAAAAAGCATTTACAAAGTGTAATTTTGGGATTTTACCCAAGGGTATTATGATATGATTTTACTAATGTTTCCATATCATAATAAACCAGAAGCTTTGAACAAAAGGATTGATATGCTTGTTAAAACTTTCTGTTTGCACTATTGTTTCTAGGCTGATTTTTGCAATAATCCCATAGGAGAGAACTCAAAAGAAAATTATGATAAAAATGGAGAGGAATATGGAACTCAAAAAATTAGGCTCTCAGAACAAATATCTGAAGAAAAAACTGATGATTTTCAGCAGGTGGTACAGCATACAAATCAGGTGGCAGGTATGGCAAGTACTATATGTTCAATGCAATCTTATTCATGTTTATTTAAATTAAATACAACTGTTTATAAATGTATAAACATTCTGTGATAAATGTATTTTAAGATTATAATATAATGATACGACTACATAAAGGTCTTAGTCTGAGTTTTTATTGAGGTTCAGAAAGGACTTCTGGTAGAGGCATGGCAAACTGAACACGTCTCCAGTAAAGACAGAGATGATGACCGTGGCAAAGACAGAAGAACTGGCAAAGAGACTGGTTTTTAGGAGCCTTTCCAGAACAGGAGAGGGCAGGAGATCACCCACGTGCTCTGGACAGCTGCTCCTCATGAGACTGCAGGGCAGCAACCTTCCATAGGTCTGAGAGCTGGGAGACGAAAGGATCAGCCATCATGCTCACAGCTGCAGTGGAGCCTTTCAAAGGACATTGAATTCGCAAACCTCGCTTTCTAATCACTTTTGGAAATTGCTTATTTATTATTCTAAGGCTGTTCAAGATCTTCGGAACAAGAAGTTTAAAAATCCACCCGCTGTGTTTATGTTTCTTCTTGAACAGCTATAAGTTTAAGAATTTAAAAAATTGGAAATAAATGGCAAAAAGTTAAATAAGATTTTCATCTAATAAAGTTATAAATGAATTAAGGATCCAGACAACTTTGGAACATTGAGACTGTAAGATTTTGGCAATAATTAAATAAAATAAACAGCATTTCCTGGGAACCAGAATGTTTTGTCTATCAAATCAAAACAGAAACTGGAGGCTTTAGAATTTCAGAAATTGGACACTAGTGGGGACTAAAGATTCCAGACAGAAAAGGAAAAAGGGGGAAAAATGTAAACGCCTTTGGATTTTGGTTAGTGTGGGGGTTTACAAAATGACACAAAATGCTATAACATTAGAAATTCTTCAGGAGATTTTCGAAGAACTAGGCCAGATGTTAGTAGCTACAATATCAGAAATGTCAGAAATGATGTCTGCTTTTATGGATAGACTGTATTCAAAATATATTAAATCTAAATTCCACAACCAGAAATACTGGATATTAAAAAAAAGTGTGGATTACACGATAGAGAAGGGAGTTAAAGTGGAATTACAAATGACAAGCCAAGAGAATGACCTTGATGAGGACTTTTTACTTGATATACAAAAGAAGCTGGTCAAAGCTTTGAAAATGAAAGTGAAATACAAATGACAAACCAACTTTTTACTGGATTTACAAAAGAGGTTGTAACAGCTGTGCCAGGCCTTCTTCCCGAGGTTGCTCACACCGTTCTCCAAATCGTGTGTGTGTTCTCGTGATGCTTCTGAAGCTTTCAGAAACTTTCCGAACACTTTTTGAAGCATCATGTAAACGGCATGCATGATTTGCAAAAACTAAATATCTGGATATCACTGTGACAAATGATGTTTTTGTTTCAGACAATACCTGTTTTGACGACTGATGCACCATTTAAATAGTGGCAAAAGGACATATCTAAATTTGTGTGGCAGGGGAAAAACCACAAGTTAAATATAAGTTGTTACAGGATGCAAAGGAAAGAGGAGGATTGGGTTACTTGATTTGAAATTGTATTTTGCAGCTTGCTGTTTGGTTTGGCTGAAAGAGTGGGTTCTGCTAGGCTTTTGGAGTTAGTAGGACATGACCTGAGATTTGGGTGCCATGGGTATCTGTGGTATGACAAAGTCAAGGTTAATGTGGATTTAAAAAATCATTATGTTAGACATGCCATATTGAGGATATGGACTAGATACAAATCCAGGTTGTGCCCGAAAACACCTTTGTGGCTCTCAGTACAAGAAGCCTTTTATAGACGAGAAATAATAGGCAATCACAAATGGCTAACTTATCACGAGACACTAGAATTTTGTCAAGGGGAATGAAAGAAAGAGAACTGGTGGCAGAGGGACATAGTTGCCAATCGTTTTCTTATTTAGTTATTAGAAAGATTTAAAGTAGACAAAAGAGTTTATGGTTTTGGACATTGTAAGACTGCCTTTGAAATGGAATTATGTACAAATTATGAATGTGTAATTGCTAATATGTATAAACTATTGAAATTTGAAACACAAGAAGAACAACTGAAAGAATGTATGATAAAGTGGGCTAAAATTTTTGGTTATAATATACAGATGGAACAGTGGGAAAATATGTGATTGAAAGGATTGAAATTTACACTATGTTATAATCTTGAAGAGATTTTTTATAAAGTGATGTAATGTTGGTATATTTGCCCCTGCTCTTTGGAACATTCTGCCCCTGGAGGTGCGATTGGCCCCCACACTCCTGGCCTTCCATAAGGCTTTGAAGACCTGGTTCTGCCACCTGGCCTGGCCTGGGGTGGGGAGGGAATACCTCAAGCATGGGGATGGCTAGCCCCATAGAGGCCTTCAGTCTTCAGCCTCAGATTTTTTATCCTCTTGGATTCTCCTTCTCCTTTTTAGTAATGTTTTTAATTAATGTTTTATGTATTTATAGATATTTATGTTTTTAATATTTGTTGTGAATCGCCCAGAGTTCCCCCATTGGGGGGAGATGGACAGTTGAAAAATTTGGTAAATAAATAAATAAATAAATAAATAAATAAAATATGTCACCAGAGAAATTGTATCGAAAGTATAAAAGCACTTCAAATTCATGTTGGAAATGTGAACAACAAGAAGGGACATTTTATCATGCTTCGTAGACATGTAAAAAAGGTAGAAAATTTTGGATTCAAATACATACACTGATTCAGAGGATTTTAAAGATTAATATA